TTGTGGGCTCTGTGTCTCAGGGGTCTCCATAGCTATCAAGGCTGGAGCTCTGAGCAATATAGAAAGGTCCCAGTCTCATCTTGAGCAACCCAATTCTCCAGAAAGAAAGAGTTGGAAGGCAAGTCAGTTTACATCCTGCATCTTGCCTGATGTGAGTCACCACATCTGAATCCGAGAGAATCTCCATGTGAGTGGGGGCAGCATTCCTGCTATAGAGTAGGTCAGTGATGCTGACTAGAGGGTTCCATGAGGATTTTCAGGAATCTTAGATCATGAGGATAGGAAGGGACTTAGCAGAGCTTCCGCCTGGACCATGCTCAATTGAGGAAGAGACGAAAGCGAAGAGGACTTCAAAGGAAGACACTTAGCATCCCACCCTCACTCTCTTCCTTTAGGTGGTGGCCCTCCATCTCGGGCTGGGGAATATTTTCAGGATGATTTTCAGGGTAGACTAACCAGATTTCTTTTTTTTTTTTTTTTGGTACCAGGGATCAAACTCGGGACCTTGTGCTTGCAAGGCAGGCACTGGAACCACTGAGCTAAATCCCAGGCCTAGATTTTTTATTTTTTTAATTTTTTTTGAGAGAGAGAGACAGATAGACATATGGACACCAAGAGAAGGAATCTGTTGGAAGGGAAGAGCAGAGATGTCTCGTCAGTTCAAATGCAGCAGAGAAAATCAGCTGCGGACATGGCCTTGGGAGGAGATGAGCTAGGAGTGTGTGGAGCTGTGGATCTTTGCCTTGTCAGGTGTCCACCCTTTCCAGGAAGGATCCGATGAAAGATCGGTCACTCCCCTCTGAAACCTGCACAAGTACACAAGGATCATGTTTGCATGACCTCCTGCTGAGGCCCAGCTGGAACCCTGAGCCAGGAGTCCCCACTGTACAAAGGGTTCTTTGGAGAGGAAGCAGCCCTGAGCCTAGGCTCCCTGTGATCTAGGCTAATGAGGGACTGTAGTGACATAAAGAATCTCCAATGAAGAAAGTCTAAATCAGTTTCTATAAAGTGAAGTGAAAACAACAAATCTGATACATACTCTCCTTACAACTCTGTAAAAATAGCCACCTATTAAGAGAGAAATGGGAAGGCAGCATGGAGAAATGAAAATAATTTATGGGTGAAAATTTTTGATTTTAATTTTATTTAAAAATTTAGTATCATTACGAGGTTCTTTAATAACAGATTTAATTTTTTCTATATTATATAAAGTGCTTTTCCAGCAGAAATGAGCTTCTGAATTATATTTGGTTTAGGTTAATATTAATGTCCTGTGTTCAGGAGGGTTCCCGAGGACCTGAGGCTGACATCCAAAGGGTAGGCAATGCCCATGGAGGTGACTGAGTTTTGAGGACCTGGAATGAGGTGCTGCTCAGGAGACAGCCGAAAAGGGAAGGATATTGTGATCTGCCATCAGGAGTACCAGCCTTTGACCAACCTTGAGAGCAGCAACATAAAGGGTGACCAGCTCTTCTGAATTGTCTGTGACTGAGGGGCTCCAATGACATAGGATTTTCCATGCTAAAGCTAAGAAGATCCTTATAAATCAGGACAAATCAGCTACCTATTAATGAGCTTCTTGACCTTCTGAGCCTCAGTTTTTTCACTTGTAAGGTGGTGCTGATGACACCTGGGACCTTTGTATAAGCACTCTGCAAACTCCACGCTCTTCATACCTGTTGGGGATGGGTGATTATTACTGGTGGAGTGCCATGGTGGAGGGAGGGGAAAGGGTGACTCTTCCCCATCTTGAGAGCTGACCGATCAAGACCCTGTCTGGATGAATACCATGATTTATATATGCAGAGTTTAAGGCAACCGACCTCTCACAATGAAGTTTTAGGGGAGCTGGGAGTGTAACTCAGTGGTAGAGCACTTGCCTAGCACGAGTGAGGTCCTGAGTTTGATCCCCAGAACTGTCTCCTCCAAAAAAGGAAATATCTATGGACCCTCTGACCAGGTATGTGCTAGGCATTGGAATAAAACTGTGAATATCTGAGATATGCTCCTGTTCCTGAGACCAAAGCCTACTAGGGAAGGCAAGGATCCAAAAGGAAGGGGGTGGGAAGGATCAGGAAATGTTTCTGAGGTAAGCAGAACCCTGGGGAGTGGGGTCTGGATGCCAAGGGTGTTGTGTTGTGGGGAAATGAGGCATAAGGAAAGGAAGCCAGAGGCCCAGGCCCTGGTATATGGAAGGACAGAATGGTTTAGTGTGGCTGGGCCATGCAGGAGTGGAGTGAGAGAGGGGGGCCTGGGAGGTCTATGTTCCCCCTGTGTGGGCCTTGAATGCTCCCTCATTTTTGGACTGAATTCCTAGGACATCAAGGGGCTGTGGTAGGGCTGGAGCAGAGCAAGGCACTTTCACAACTGTCCACTCAGCAGTTCCCATGCATATCATTAAACGATAACACAAATGATTAGGGGCTGTCCTAAAATGGCATCCTGTGAGACCCAGGTCCTCTGACCTGACGGTGTGCCTCTGTCTGCTGAGCTCTGAAGGCCCTTGAACTAGCCCATCCCCCGAGTGCCCTGCAACTCCCAATCTGGTGCACCCATCTATACATTCCCCAGGCAGGGGTCTGGCTGCCTAGCACAGGCTGTGATGCCTCCTCCCAAGCACACTACTGTTACCTCAATGTGTCTGTGTGGGCTGGATGGCTGTGTGGCAATGCACTCAGGGTGTGCTGCGGACTCGTCCAGCCCAGGCAGCTGATTAATCATGAACAGTTACACCAACCTTCCCAGGAACAAAGAGGTAGGTATGCACTCGTGTGTGTGTGTGCATGCACACACACTACTGTGCACATGCATTTAGACTCGATGATATTTATGCCCACATTTTCACTGAAACTCAGGCAAGCTCACAAAGACACTCCCTGCTACCTGGATGAGATGCATAAACATGACATTATATTCATCCCAGACATGCTGCTCTAGCACTGACACACATAATGTTGTAAATGCTGTCTACACAGTCTCAGATAGATGCCTGCACACCTGTGCTGCCCCATACCACCTCTCACACTCTACAGATATGTCATGAGGATTAGAAAGGAGCATCCAGATTAAGCATTTAACCCAATCCCTGGCACATAGGACTTTTGTATTATAGTTTAATGATATTATATATGATTATATTAAGATACTTCAATGTGTGCACATGTACTGTTACCCTCATACTGATACACATATACACTGCCACATATGTGTTTTTAAAAGCAGGTGCAAGCACAAGAACTTCACCCTTTAATAAAACTGATGCATGCAGTCTCCTATACCCAAGCAAGCTCACCCTCAGACCTGAAGGTTGCCACAGTTTGCTCTCCCAGTTGCACCTACACACAATCACAACAGCAATAATAATCATCAAAAAACCAGGTTAGGTGATTGCTTTATATTTTCCTGAGGCCTTTCAGACTATAATCTCATTTGATTCTCACAGCAGCCCCATGGGATAGGTGGGTGGAGCAGGCATTATTTCCCTGGGTTTATGGCTGGAGATCCAGAAGCCAGGGAGCTGAAATGTGCCATCTGCAAAGTGGCTGGGAACCCATATCAAACTTGATGGTGAGCTTCCTTGGCCCTCAGATGTTGATTTGACAACCTCCAGCTCTCGGTATGGAAAGCAGAGGCTGGGGCAGGGGATTACTAGATTCTTAATTCTGGTCAAAACATTTTCTGGAGTCAACCCTGGCAGAGAAGTGGGAATTGGAGGCTGATAAGGGGAAACTGCCATCATTAGAAATCCCATAAAGTCTCATTTACAACTCCCTGTCAGATGAAAGGAGCAATTGAATGTGTTGGAGGGAAAAGTAAATACTGATTTCCTTTAGGATAGCCCAGCCTCAGACAGCTGATCCCTGATCCCTGGAGGACCCAGAAGGTCCCAGGAGAGATCTCATATTCCGTCTGGGTTCTCCCCAACTCTGCACTTCCTCTCCCCTCTGTCCAACTGGTCTATGGATCCTTAGGCTCTGGTTCAGGAGAGGGGAGGAGAAAAGGACAATGAAGGGGCATCCCCTCCCTCAGAGCCCCTCTCTCCTGGCACACAGTGGGAACCTCCTTCTCCCATCAAGTTCTGTCTCCTACTGGGCTGGGGCAGGAGCACACTGTCCCCTTATACCTGGCCTCTGAGCCAAGAATTTTGAAAGATGGTCAGAGCACCCTTCAAAGGCTGGTGCCACTAGGAGGGCCCTGATGATGAAAGGACAGGGAGAGTGACTGACCCCCTCTTTGACTTCTTCTGCAGTGGCATGCTGGTTTCATCACACTGTGGGCCATAGTTTCTGTACCTGCACAATGGGAATGGTAAGACGAACTCACAGTGCCATGTGAGGACCAGATGAGAGCAGGTGTACCAAGGCCATGGCACAGTTCCTGGCACGCTGCTGGGGCCCCATAGTGCCAGGGCTGTCCCTTGCCCTGGCAGCTTCCTGAGAAATGCCTCCACTGCGAAGGCTGGAAAGTGGCCTCCTGGATGTGCCAGCTCTGGCTTGGAGGGAGGGAGAAGGGAGGGGCAGGTAAGGGACATCTGTTTGACACTCTTGTCAGCATCCGTTACCTGGTGTGTATTTTCCCAGGAGCTGATTACATTACAGCATGTGTTGATAAACATTTGGAGTCAGAGCAGAGAGGAAACTGAGCAGAATTTTAAGTGGGTAGTGGTTTGGTCAGGAGATGCTGAGAAAGGATTGTCTGGGATGAGCTGGAGGAGATGACAAGGGCCCCCGTCTGGAGGCTTTTTGCTTGCCTGGCTCCTTTCTCTTTCTGATTTCTCTCCTTCCCTACTGCTGAAGCCCTCAGAGAGCATCTCAACTTGGTCCCAGAGACAGTGTATTATAGCAGAAGAGGTGTGGGATTTGGATGTCAGGAAGTCATGTGTTCCAATCCTAGCTCTAGTAAAGATTCAACCAGAAGACATTCACCATGCTTGCCATATAGAATGCCTGGGTAAATGTTGGCTACTTTCCTCTCGTGCTCAGTTTCCACGGAGGAGGGAAGTAATCATCCTATCCTTGATGGTACTCAACCCTTTCTTATTTCTATGTCGTGCTAAGAGGAGGCAGGTTCACGTTCTTCCTGACAGTCTTCTCTAAAGCCAGCCCTGGTTAGGCCTGGGGTAGGCAGCCTGGGCTGAGTGTCTGGAACACATATATGGCAGCTGGAGCTAAGTAATTATTTGTGTAGTTATCTGCCTGCTGTCGTTCTCCCTCCCTATTCCACACACTCCTGAGGACAGGGGCTGTGTCTGCCTGGTCATATGGAATTCTCAGGGCCTTAGCAGGAACTGGTAGGAATGAACTACTCACAGCCATCTGATTGGTCTGTGGCGGAATGGCCAAGACCGCCCATCTCAGAGTTCCTTGCTGTCTTGTTGCTCCGTTGTTTCAGAATCTAGAGCACTGACTATACTTCTCCCTTGGCTGTTGGCACAGATTACCTTGGAAGAACATTTCCTGTGTGTAGCTGTAGTCTCTGAAGTTGTTTTTGAGGACAAGGACATTTAGACTTTTGCGAGAAGGATGTGGAACTGTCCCTCTGACTCCATGGACGTGTGTAAAGGAACGAATGAATGTGCGAATGCCTCCATCTTGTCTCCCTGTTCCCTCTCTCTGTGCGTGCTGGAGAAGGCACCTCTCACCCCAGCCCACTTCAGGTGTGCTGGTTGCCTCCGCTGACGCTGGGGCTGCCCCTTTGTGGGGCGAGCACAACGGTCCCAGCGCCACCTAGCGGCCAGGGAGCCTGGGAGTTGCGCGTCTCGTTTCCCAGTCCATGGGATCCGCGGACTACGCCACCTCGCAGAGTTCCGACGCTCTGGCCACTGCCTCCGTCTGTTTTGTTCTCTCCGGTCCAGAGAGTGCGGAGACTTCCGGGGAGCGAACGTGTACGGGTTTCCAGAGTAACCCCGACAACAGTAAGCCGGAACGGACTCCTGGGGAAGCAGGAGGTGGCCCTCCACTCACGTTTCGTGTCCTCACTACTGCCTCTCTCTGCCACAAGAGTCCATTGATTGGGAAGAGTAGCCGGGTTGTGGTGTGGTAGGGAAGCTGAGAGGACACACGCGCTGACGGACACACACACACACACACACACACACACACACGTACACACACACGTGTAGACACTGCCTTCTGCAGTGCCCACCACTCTAGGGCCGGGGGGGGGGGATGGGAAGGGCCTCCAGAGCGTCCTAGGAAGAGCCCTGCCTCTCAGTTGCCAGCTCCTCAGCTAAGTTTTGCAAGCCTCCTGGGAAGAATCATCAGTGAATGGTTTATTCCAGCCTCAGCTGGTGGGCTGCCTCCCGCCCGCACCCCCACCACTGCAGCCTGTGGGCTCCTCTCCTTGGCAAAGATCTTCCGTGGCACTAAGAGGCCCTGTTAAATACCAGGCAAAGCCAATTCTGCTAGGAAGGAGGAGCTGCTGTGGCAGGAGCTGCAGAGACAAATAATATGCAGTAATGCCTCTTTGGCTGCTGCCCTGGGTACAAGCTCAGCCCTCTGTCCTGGATGGCAGGAAGAAGTGTTGGGGACCCGATGGGTGAGGTGGGAGTAGGAGAGGGGAGAAGTCAGGGCAAGAATACTTTTGACAGTAAGGATACCCTGAATCTCTCTCCTTTACCCCTAAAGTCTGTCAATTGTCTGGACTAAGATGGCGGAACTGGATGTGCGCCTCCGTTACGTGTGGGGCTTCTGACCCTTCTCCAGATTCTTGCTTGATTTCCTCTGTGATGAGGAAGTTCTTACCTCTCACAGCGTCTCAGTTCTGGGCACCTTGCCCTTTAGAGGCCAGAACTGCCCTGAAAGCCCTATCCATCCAGCTATGTCAGAGGTACAACCAACACCCACCCACCTAGCCCCATTCCTGGTTGCTGCCCTCCCCCCACTGCGTCTGGGGGCCAGGCTGCTGTGGAGGTGGGGAGTGCCTGGCAGTTGGTACCATAAAAAGGGGCAGGCAGGAAACAGGCTCCTGACATTCGTCTTGGTCCCTTCCCTAAACTCCTGTTGGCCACCTGGCTGCCAGTGGGTGTGTACACAGTATTGGGCTGGGGCTGGGCGGAGACTGGGTGGAGATGCTGGCTTGCCTGGTTTCTCACACTTCTTCCTGCTTCCCAAAGCCAGTGCGGAGAGTGTGTCCCCATTTGTGGGCAAGGCTGTAGCCCTGTGAATGCCTGGGTATGGGTTTCTTCACATATTCACAGGCTATCAGGATTGGAAGGGACTTTGGAAGACCCTCCCCCTCACACCACCCTCTGCCACAGCAGGTCAAATGTTCAGGAAAATTTTGCTTGATTACTCCTTGTGACTGGAAGCCTCCCCACCCCCACCCCCGCCACCCAGTCCAATCTTGCTGAAGCTGGAATACTGACCTGGAAACTGTGCCAGGCATACAGAACTACACTCCACCCTCCATATCTACAGGAAAACATGGCCAGAACAAAGTGTCACAAAACAGCACCCCGAGGTATTTATTAGTACCCACTCTCTACAGGCACTGAGTGAGGTGCCACACATGTATGGTCTCTCATAATCACCTTAAAACTCTGCAAGGTCATGTTTGTTATTATCTCTATTTTATTGAAGAGGAAATCGAGGCCCAGAGACATGAAGGCATTTACCAGAAATCTCACAGCCAGAAAATGGCAAAGCTTGCAATCAAAACCAGGATGTTTGGCTCTGCCTGAGTTTAATTTGATCATTATGTTGCAGACACTACCCAGAGAGGAATGAGAGGGGAAGGGGGAGAACAGACATGCACATGTGTGTCTCCTCACTGCCACTGCCAGGGCGAGGGTCGGGGGGTGGGCAGAGATCAGTGGTATTAGAGGCAACTAGGGACCCTGGATACGGAACTAAGATGACTGGAACTGCAGTGCTGGGGTTAGAATTCTGGGCCTTGTTCATGCCAGGCAAGTGCTCTCCCACTGAGCCACACCCTCAGGCCTGCCTTTCTTCTTCCTCTTCCTTCTCTTTCCCTCCCCTCTTCCTTCATCACCATCATCTCATTTAAAAGTCAGCCTATCGGCATGAGTGTTCGGAGTTCTTCCAAAGCGAGAAGCTCCACCTGTGCACCGCCAGGCCCAGACAGATCCGCTGGCCTCCACCAATGTTGGCAGAAGTGTAGAATAAGTGTGGTTAAGAGATGGGAAATAAATAGGGAAGCTCTGTATTTAGGTTCCACACCAGCCAAGGGTTAGGTGGTTGGTACATGGTTCAGAGAGTTTTATGTTTAATTTTATGTCTAGACAGAGTTTGAGATGAAGTTATCACTTCTCTTCTAATTAGTTCGAGAAGGCTTCCCCAGGCGCTGCTTTTGGGAGCCTTCCTGCTGTCTCAGCTTTGCCATCTGTCCCCAAGAGTGAGACTTGGGTACAGTGAGCTGAGGGAGTGAGCACTGGTTGGGAGTCAGGCTGTCGGGGTCTTTGACCTTGGTTCTGCTGCCTACTTGCCATGTGACCTTGGATAAACTAACCTTGCTCTTCTGGGTCTTTACTTCCTTATTTGTAAAATGAAGGGACAAGACTGATCCCATCAGCACCTTTCAGCAAGTACATTCCCCAGAGTCCATTAAACAGTTCGTCTGGGTGGAGGTGGGCAGGCTGTGGACTGTGCAAAGATACCTGGCCAAGAAGTAGATGGGAGCTGAAATCTGGCCAATGTTCTTCTCCCTGGGTCATGTGTTTTGGAGGGGACTACATCCATCTGGAGAAAGAAGCATCTTTTCTAACTATGCAGAGGTACCATGTGCAGGGCCCATGAAGACTGGCCCGCTGAGCCCGGAGTGGGAGGTACTAAAGGGAGTGAATTCATGAGAAAGATGGAGGATCAGGCAGAGGTTCTGCTGTCCAAGGACATGGAAACAGGGCAGGAGCAGCGGGAGCACGAACTCAGAGCTAGAAAGCAGAAAAGGGAGGGTGGGGTACAGAGGCAACCTGAGCTGATGGGACAACCGCATGGGATGGGCCCTTTGGCCGAGGTCAGGGTGCTCTGGGAGCAATGACTCTATGGCCTCCAGCCTCACTGCTGCTGTAGCCACCCCAAGCAGCTGGCCCCTTTGGAGTGGCTCCTCTTGCCAATCTCTCATTGGGGGGAGTGTGGAGGAGCTCGGTTCCCAGGGCCTCCCCTCTTTCATGGGCTTTCCTTCTCCAGTGCCTGGAGTTGGGGCCCCTCCTGCCAGGCCCTCTGGTGCAGTGTGCAGACAGGCATGGCCCTGCCCTCAGGAAACTTACCATCTCACAGGGACTTTGGGCACAGGTCCATTGGGAAGTGGCCCCTGTCCCTGAGGCATTGTAGGGCAGGAAGTGCAGTAGGATAGTCTTGGTATCTATACTGGTCTCAGTCTGGCCCAAGGTGAAGGCTTTTACTCTGGGACCAAGAACGAAGAAAAGCCACCAGTTTGGCCTCCACATTCATTGGCAGCAGAAATTCTGAGGAAATGAGAACGATGGTGAAGATCTACTGGGGACAGATTTCTGACCCCTCTTACTGTCCAGGGAGGATGTGGGAGTCATTGAAGAGGAGGATGGGACATGAAGACTTCCACAAAGCAGGGGGCAGGGAAGCTAGGTCTGGGGGGCACAGCCTCACTTTCCCTTGTTCAGGAGGTGAGGATGAGGGCACTGAAGGGTCCCCGATCTATGAGGGTGACCCAGAGCCAATCAGCCAGACTGCACCCCTAGAGGCCATTCATCTCCCTTTCTGGCCCTGCCCTCAGAAGCCTTTCTTCTGAGTGAATCTCACATTATCTGGCCAACAGGAAGTCCTCACTTCTGTCTAACTCAGTCCTTTCTGCTGCACCTCTTGTTCATTTCCGCATAGTACAGCAGGTACACAGTTTGAATTCCAGACCACTCTCATGGCCAAGCCTTCTGCAGCCACTCTGCCTCCTCAGCAGACCTAGTTGTGCGAGGCTGGGATGGCTGTCATCTCTGCAGGGACAACTATAGGACTGTCATTATGCCTGTGCCAGGCAGGCCCACCCCTCTCTCCCGGGTGCCCACTGTCCCTGCTCTTTAAAAGAAGGAGACCGCAGGGGGGTTCATCATCTGTCTTGCTCTTGCTGGGTGGCTGTGCCAAGTGATACTTTTGTTTTGAGCATGTTCCTACCCCCTGGCCTTCTGACATCCAGTCTTTATTCCCCAGGGCAGTGAGATGGCAGCTCTGAGCAGCTTGCTCTAGAACCAACTGTGCGTCCTCCACTTGGACCAATACCAATGGTAAGAAGAATAACAATGAGCTGATATTTGTTGGGCTTTTACTATGTGCTGGATACTCTTAAAACTGCTCACACATGTGTATTCATTTCCTATTGTTGCTGTAGTAACTTAGCACAAACTCGATGGATCAAAGCAACACACATTTATTATCTTGCAATTCTTTTGAGGGTTGGAAATGTGACACATGATTCCCTGGGCTAAAAACCAAGGTGTAGGAAGGGCTGCACTCCTTTCCAGAGGCTTACATGTCTGCCTTTTCCAGCTTTGAGAGGCCACCTACCTCCCTTGGCTCATGGTGCCTCCCCCAGTTTCAAAGCCAGCCAACGAGGCATCTCTCTGCTGCTTCTTATGTCCTCCCTTCTCTCTCTCTCTCTCTCTCTCTCTCTCTCTCTCTCTCTCTCTCTCTGCCTGAAGAGGTCAAGGACTTTTAAGGACTGGTAATTAGGTTGGACCCACTTAGGGAATACAGGATGGTCTCTCCATTTTGAGAGCCGTTATCATGGTCTGGATTTTCTTTTTTTGACAATACTAGGGATCGAACCCAAGGCCTTTGCACTGAACAACAGCCCCAGCTCTTTCTATTATTTTTAAATTTTCAAACAGTGTCCCACTAAGTCTCTAAGTTGGCCAGGTTGGGGTTGAATTTGCAATTTCTGCCTTAGCCTCCCAGAGTACTGGGATTAAGGCATGCACCTGGCTGCCACACCCGGATGGTTTGGCTCTTCATGTCCTCCAAAGGCCATGTGTTAAAGGCTTGGTCCCACCTGTGGCACTATTGGGAGGTGGTGGAATCCTTAGAAGGAAAGGCCTAGTGGGAGGAAGTTAGGACATTGGGCATGCTGTGATGGGGATATTAGGACCCCACTTTTCCTCTCTTTTGCTTTGCTCCAACACATGTGCCTGCTATGATGTTCTGCCTCAATACAAGCTAAAAGGCAACAGAGCCATATGACCATGGGCTGAAGCCTCTGAAACTGTGAACCAAAATAATCTTTCCTCCTTTTAAGTTGTTTATCTCATATTTTATCATAGTCACAGAAAGCTGACTAACACGGCTGCACTTTAATGCCATCTGCAAAGCCCCTTTTGAGGTACAAGGAGACATTCCCAGTTCTCAGGGACTAGGGGATGGAAACCATTAAAGTCTATTATTTTGCCTACCACAACATATTTCAGTCTTTTCGTACAAAGGGTGAGTGAACAGTAGGTTGTGTTATTGCTTCCATTTTAAAGATAAGGAGACAGAGGTGCAGAGAAGCTGAATAACTTGCCCACGCTTACTTTGATAGGAGTAATCTATTTAGGATCCAAACTAGGACAGCTCCACATAGTTGTACCTCAGTCCCTGTGACAAAAGCAGAGAGCAGGCAGTGGAACATGTACAAGTTCTACATGGTAAGAGGCCAATTCCCCCTACATCAGCTGAACAGTGGAGTCACACGTTTGCTGCTTTCTATGCACCCAGCCCTGGGCCAGGCTCCCAAGGTGTGCAACAGAGCTCCCACCTGAACCCAAGTACTAAGCTCAGTCCTTTTTCCCACCCTGGTGCTGCATGATAGGGTGGAGGCCCTCCTGCAGATGACAGATGGAAGAAAGGACTTGAGCTCTCGTGGGGCTCATGCCCAGGGGATGGGGCTGGGCTCGGGTGGAGGAGGAGAGAGCTGGGAGCCCTGCTCCCTGTGGCCCCTGCTGGATCTGCCCAGACCCCTGAGGGCTGGCTCACCAGGCAATTCCTGCCCATTCATCATGATGGGGAACGGGCCCTGGGTGAGCCTGGGACCTGCAAATCATGGAAATTAAGACCAATTAGAGGGGGGACTGGCAGCCCCTGGGAGGGGTTCTGGCCACCTTGGCACCTCGGGAACTTTATGGATGTTTAGTCCCATTTTGTGGTCCAGCTGGGAGGCAGAAACATGCCAGCTGAGCACAAGGCCACATTAAGGTGCTTCTGCCCAACCTGGCAGGGGTCACCTCAACAGGATCCACAGCCCCCTCCCCAACATGCTGGTGGCCCTGCTTTCCATCCTCTGGGACCACTAAAATCATCATCCTTTCCTCAGGTCCCTTCTCAGCCTTGCACTGCAAGTTCCTTTTTCTTTCCACACTGGCTGTGTCCTCCAAACAGACCTCTGGATCCTGGGGACCCAGAGGAGGGAGGGAGACAATCTTAGTCACCTTGGTGGCTGTAGGTCATTTGGTCTGTCTCTGCTTCTGCCCCCTCTCCTTTCTGGATCCTCATGCCCATGCCAGCCTGAGGGTTCTTTCTGTTTCCTTACAGGGGCAGCTCTTGAACAAACTCTTCCCTTTATTGTTTCCCCAGGGAGAAGCTGGCCAAGCTCTGAGAAGCCGTGCACACCCAAGGAGCAGAGATGCCATGGCTTTTTGGTGGTATTGGCAGGATGATACCAGAGGCTAAATGATAAGAGCTGAATGAATTCTCCAGGTTCCCAAGTCTTTGCTGCCTTTCATTCTTGTCTCTTGGCCCTGGTCCTTGGCTCACCCTTCCCTGTCCTGTGCTGAGCGGGGTAGTGCCTGTGTGCTGAAGCTGTAGCTGGTGCTAAAAGGGGTTGGGGGAAGGCAGAGCCTGACCTGGAGTGGGGGCAGAGGTACTGGGGCCAAGGTAGTACGCCCCTTCTCCTGGTAGCAGCTATGACATTGAAAGGGGCACCCCTACTTTGCTCAGCCCTGGCTTCTGATGTTTTAGGGTAGGCCCAAGTGGAGTGAAGGAGGGGCTTCTCACTGTCCTGCCACCATCTGCTGGAGTCCCCTGAGCTGGCACCAGCCAACTGACTTCCAGCACAGTGTATGAAGCAGCCTTGAACCCCTGGCCACATCTGTCTTAGCTACACATGAGGCCTTGTGATGTGCTAGGGGCCCATGGCCAGGTGAAGGGGAACAGAGTCAGAAGACAGTGCTCCTGTTCTCACCACCATAGGCAAAGTGAAAAGGGAGGGAGGACAAGGTCCCAGGGAAGTGCAGACCCCTCAATTCTGGGATATATGAGTCAGAGAGTCGGCACGTTGGGGGGCAGTCAACACTCAGGTATTTGGCTGCTCTGCTATAGCCTGAGTCCACCCCTTCTTCCCTCTGAGCCCCAAGTCCAGGGCTGCAGAGCTTTCCCCAGCTCTGCCAGTCTATGACTCTCAGTACCAGTGATTTGTCTAACAGGCCTCGGGGAGGTGCCTTAACCTCGGTGCCTCAGAGTGGCATAACAATAGTACCTGTCTCATAGGGTTATTATGGGGATTAAATGATTTAAATATAAAGTGTACAGAATGGCACCTGCCACACAGGAAGTGCCACATAAGTATTAGTTATTATAATAATTATTATTTCTCAGGCTATTTCAAAGACCATAGCATGTTGTTTTAAGACTGCAGGCTTTGGAGTCAAGCAGACTTGGGTTGGAGTCCTAGGTGTTTCCCTTTTAGGCTCTGTGACCTTGGGAAAGCGGCTTCACACTCTGAGTCTGTGAAGTGGGGCTGATCATAACATTACTGCCTTTGGATGAGACAGCTAAGACCTGCTCAATGGCTGTAAAACGCCTGCTGTGACATTGCTTTGTCTTCTTGCTTGGAAAGTGGGTTTAGGACAGTCTCTGTGGGAGAAAGTAGGACTTGTGAAACACAGCTGTGACCTTCAGGATGGCCAAATTGTGCAGGAGATTTCTTATGCAGAGGGCTTGCTCTTGGCTGGACAATGTGAAGAATCCTCGTTTTGCTTCTCAGACACCCTGGGACCCAGGAACAGGGAGGTGGCAGGTAGGTGATGGGGTTGGTCCTGCCTGGGCTTCTCCACATGCTGTGGTTAGAGCCATGAAGGACACAGGCTGGGCTTTACTGGGGAACCAGGTGCCTGCCGATGGTGACACCACACTGAGGAGGCCCGACACAGAGAGACAAGTAAGCTATGGATCACTCCCTAGAGAGTCTTCCCCTACTGCCAGTCTCAGCTGGGTCCCCTGTTAAAGGCCACTACAGCTCTCCATTCTTTGTATCCCCAGCTCGCATCACAATTTTCCAAATGTGAAAGAGGGGCTGTGGGTGTAGCTCAGTGGTAGGGCACATGCTTAGCACACACAGGGCCCTGGGTTCCATGCTCCATCCTCAGTAGGTGAGGGAGGAAGGTAGGGAGGGAGGGAATAAGGGAAGGAGGGAGGGAGAGCGGGAGAGAGATTATTTTATGATGTCTGAATGGTTCATGAAAAACAGCTCCTGGAATATATGCCCAGTCATATTTACATGACTGAATAAATAACAATAGCAGTTAGTACTTACTTACCTTTTGTTATGTGTCAACCATTATTCAAGAACCTAATATATATTAATCAATTTAAACCTCACAGTACTGCTATGACATATCCATTAAAATCATTTCTAATTTCAGAAGAGGAAGCTGAGGCACAGAAAGATTATATAACTTGCCCAAGGCCACACAGCCATCAACTGGTGGAACTGGGATTCAATTCAGCCAGGCAGTTTGGCTGAGCCTTGGTTCCTACCACACTGTCCCCCGAGCTGTACCCCTTCCTGCCTGATCTTTGCACCCTCAGCATTTCTCTTCCTAATTGCTTGGCTGACAGCATGCTGTGTTCTTTCTCCCAGTCAGACCTCCCCCTGCCACAGTTAGCTCTCGCCCAGGCATTCCCTTCCTTTGTCATATGCCTTCCAGGCTGGATGTGATCCAGGAACGCAAGAAGGAACATGACCTCTGCTGTCCTCTTGGCGTCCTCCCCTGCTCTTCCCTGGGACTCCTGCTCAAGGCAGGGCAGGTCTCAGCACAGTCCTGCCAACTGCAGCACTGTTGGTCCTGTTGGTGATGAATAAGGTGAGATAAGGACAGAGCCTGGTTTCTTCTAGAGGCAGGTGGGAGATGGGGAGGGATCCAGTTCTCTGAAGAGCTTAGCTTGAATGTGAGTCTGGGCCAGAGTGGAATTGCTGAGGACTCTCAAGGGGCACAGCTCTCCTGTGCAGAGGCCTCCTGCTCCCACCTCTGTCCCACTCACACCTTCAGGACTCAGCCTTGCCTCCAAACCCAAAGGGAACCCCCTTCAAGGAAACTGCAGGGCAGGTCCTCTGGCTCTAGCTGAAGGCAGAGAGCTGAGGCTGATGACAGTGTGGCAGTAGACCTGCCTTCTGGTCTTACTCCATTGTGCATATGAGATCTGCCTCTAAGAGCCAAATATCTTCATTTATGGCACAGGGTAAGGTGGGGCTCGGATTACATGCTTCTGAAGTCACCTCTGGCTTCAGGATTTGAAGAAGATGGGGGTACTTAGGAAGCCCCTGGGAATTTCCAACACAAATTACCCCTGGGAACATGAATTGGAGGCTAGAAGGGGAAGTGGCTATCTTGTCATAGGCACATTTCTTGTCTCAGTTAACAAAAAACATTCTTCTTCTCTTCCTTCTCCTTTTACTTCTCCTCCTTTATGGAAGAAACATGGACTTTCAAAGGCCCATTTACTTGGTCCAGGTTGCACAGTGGAAGAGGTAGAGACAAAATCTGATGTCAGGGATTTGACTCAAAGTCAGTGCAAGTCTGATGTCCAGTATGTGATTTGAGGTCAGTCCCGGGTCCACAGGTGAGGGGGATTGGCTGGGGTTGGAGCAGGTATTTGGAGGTCATTGTGGTGACTGGGATGCTGTCCATAGTGTCTGGAGCAGGGAGGTTTTTCTCATAGCTGGGGACTATCACATTCAGGGGCATTAGCCTCTGGGGAGGAAGGAAGAAACTCCCTCACAGAGAGGCAGTGCAGCAGCCATGGAGGTGAAGGCAGGAGAGGATCTGAGCAGTGTTCAGGGAAGTTGGCAGCAGGGGTCTCAGGGAAGGGGACCCTATGGGTGCCCCATCCCCAGAAGTGTAACGGTGTCCAGTCCTGTGGGTTGAAGACCATGGCAGTGCCCAAGGTCTCTGGGGCAAGGACTCAAACCACACACCTGCACAGACATGCTCTGTCCTTGGCTGTCTACCTGCTGTCACAGAAGCAAACAGGCCTGTGCCTGGCCCACTCTGACAACAACACGTCATCTCCTGGCACTTATCTTGGCTCTCAGGTTCCCAGCCCTACCCACATGCAGCCTGTGTGTGTGTGTGTGTGTGTGTGTGTGTGTGTGTGTGTGTGTGTATCTTCCACCTTGGCCTGCATAATTCTCTCAATTCTCTGCTGTTTATAGGCCTCTCTTGGGTTTGTACAAACACATGTGCACTTCACACACACACACACACACACACACACACACACACACACCCCTCAGTCTAAACTCTGCTTCTCAGTCTCTCCAATTCATGTGCAGCCCTGGGTCCTGGAGAACCCCGTTCATCTTTAAAGGGCCAGGGCTATTTCTCTTCCCACTGCCTGCTGCCTCCTGCTTTCTTGTGGGCTCAGCTGTGGAGGGGTCTCTGCCAGGCCTGCTGTTGAATTAGTCCCTGGAAGGTCTTAGGTTCCTGCCCCAGGCCCCATGCAGGCTTCCCCCACCTGGCCACAGAGCTGGGCAGCCCCCTCCTGGAAGTGGCATCCCCAGGAGCAGCTGGCCAAGGAATGACCCTATAGCTGGGGACAGGCAGGCTGGAAGGGCTTTGTCTGTCTTGGATTCTTTTCTGTAAAAATTTTTGTGTATTTGCCATGATGTTCCATTCATTTCAGCTGATGTCACTGTGGTGCACTGGAGCATCACTGACATCTGTGTCAAGCAGGAGTAGAGCCATGACCCGGGAGTCAGGAACCCCTAGACTGGTTCTAGAGGAACCTTAGTTTCCTTATCAGACAGAGGAGGGGGTTGGAAGCAATGGTCTTTGGTGGTTTCATTCTAAAATTTTGAGTCACCGTTTGTGGTGACAAATGCCTGTAATCCCAGCACTCAGGAGACTGAGGCAGAAGGGTAGACATGAGTTTGAAGCCAGCCTGGGCTACATTGTGAGTTCAGAGACACTCTGATCTGCACAGCAGACTCTGTCTGACAAAACCAAAATAAATAAAATAAAATTTTGAGAGCTGAGGAGACTTCTTTATTTAGAATCTATCTGTACCTGCTCATTCCAATTAAACTCCTCTAACGTATTTGTGTATGTGGACATTGTGTATGCAAATACACACATATGTGCACAGGCACGTCCTGCTCAGCTTAGCTACATCATGTTTTGCAGGAACTTCCCAAGTTACCTGGGTACCGCATTCCTTGTCAGGGTTGGTGCTTCAAGCAGGGAGAAGTGTGTGTGCTATACCACTTTGTGGTGCATCCTTTGTTGAAGTAGCCTGGCAGCTCACCAGCCTCTCCATGCCTCCTGTAACCTCTTCCCTAAGATTAAGGACCCAAATCCCCAGCCCAGCTCTTAGTCAGTGGAGAAGTTTTGGGGGTATGCAGTGATCACCAAGCCCTGGAGGGTCAGGGCTTGAAGGGCTTCCCTGACCTCCAGTGTAGTCAACAGGCTTCCAAACCCTCTACTGAAAACGTGGAACCTCAATTCTAATCATGTCTTACCTGGGCAAGCAGACAAGCAAAACTGCTAGTATTAGGGTGGGTGGACTTCTACTCAATCCCCCCACCCATTGCTACCCCCACCTGCTGCAAAGTGAGAGAGCTTCCTGCAAATGCAACCTCAGAGCCTTGACAAATATAGCTTAACACCCACCCATCTAGCCCACCAGTTCTCCAGTGGGGATAGCAGCATCAGCATCAGCATCAGGTGGAGACTTATTAAAAATGCAGATCCTCAGCCCCTCCTCCCCATATGCTGACTCAGGAATCTGGGGTGTGATTGGCAATGTATATCTCACAAGATCCTTGGTGATTCTGATGTGTGCTCCAGTCTGAGAAGTACTGAACATTTGTTTTACAGATGGGACATTGATGTCCAGAGAGAAGTGCATAATTTATGCCAGGTCACAGAAACTGGCACAGTGGTCAGACTATGATCCCAGGTGAGATGGCCTGACTCAGGGTATGGCTGGTCATCACTCATGAGATAAATCTGGGGAGGCTCCTGGCAAGAGGTAGAGTCAGGAGGGAACAGGAACATATTTGAGCATAGGCCCTTGGGAGTGAGTGTGGAGGCAATCCTTGCACAGGAAGGGGATCTAAGGGGGGCCCAGGTGGAGTGCAGCTGGCAGGGGAGGGGATTCACAGGCACAGGGAGTTCGAGTGGAAACACTCAGCTGGCCAGCTCCACTTTCAGGTCCCCAGAAGCCTGGGACCTCTCCCGTGGGATTAGAAAGCGGTTAACATCTCTGGCTAATTAGCCACTGCCTGCTACCGACGAGGGAGGAGAGGGGAGCAGAGAGCTGGCTGCTTTGAAAGGCAGGCTGCTCCTTGACAAAGCCGGCCTGTGGAGGTTTCAAAGACAACTTCTGAGCGGCCTGCACGTTTCATGTTCATTAGATCCTTGCTTCCCAGGCTCAAAAGACAAACTGGGATTTAAGGGTTTTCTTCCCTCTTTGGAGACATTTCATTCTGAGCTGAGCTTTCAGCTGGGGAGGAGGCTGAATGGCTGAGCTCTTTGCTCCTCCAAATCCACAGCCTTAGCTCAGCTCAGCTCCACCTTTGTACACTCTGGAAGCTTCTCAGGCGTCCCTCCACCAAGCTTTGCACCACCCTCTGCCCAGGCTAGATGAGCAGGTGCAGCTGGGGACCTGGGGGTATCTGATGAGGGGTACCCTGCAGGTACTGCTGGACCTTAAGTTCGGTGAGGCTGGGACCCTGAATGCTTGTCTTTATCTCCCAGGCATCTAGATGCTCAATAAATTTTGGCTGAATGAGTGAGTAAATGAAGGGATGAATGAATGGGCTGATATTTCCCCTCGTTCTGATCCTGTTCCTGCTGTTCCCCACCCTGTTTTGTGTTTCAGGAAACTACATTTCCCAGGTTCCCTTACCCTCTGGCTTCTGGATAGGGTCAACCAATCAGAGGCACAGGAAGAAGGCAAAATGTGGGAGGAGAGAAAAGTGGGATATTATTTCTCCCTTTCCTGTATGTCTGTCCTGTCTCTGCAGCCTCGATGTCTCCTCCTTTGTTCCTGGTGAGCAGCCTTCCTAGTGGCCCCACTTCCTCCAGAGGTCCAGTGGCTCCAGCTCCTGCCTGATGACCTCATCCTTTAGAGGCCTCAGCCTTAGAACACTGCTTCTCCTTTCATTCCTGGGAGGACAGTTTCCTGCTGTATCTCATTCTGGGTCACTCTGCCTCTTCTGTCCCCTGTACAACAACCAAGCTCCTCATTTAAGCCCCTCTGCTTGAAAAGCCTAGAGTGGTTTCTGGTTTTTCTTGTTCTTCTCCTTCTCCTTCTCCTTCTCCTTCTCCTTCTCCTTCTCCTTCTCCTTCTCCTTCTCCTTCTCCTTCTCCTTCTCCTTCTCCTTCCTCCTCC